CTAAACTAAACTAAACTAAATGTTCATTGTAAACATTATCAAGTTTACTTTTTTTCCTGCATAACTTTATAGACTGGTTAATACTAATGAAGTCTATAATGTGGATCTTCCATATTGTTAAAGGTGGACTAATTTGTGAATTTATTTTTATTGTTTTATTCCATTTGTCTGAACTTAAAGGAAATAAGGGGGCTGACTGATTCTTAAATTTCTGAGAGATAGAGAGAAAAAATATTCCAAGAAAAAATAACCAATGGGAAAAAATAATGATTTTTTTAAAAAATAACCTTCAAAGTCCATTATATAATAGTAACGAATGGGCACATTCCCAGCCAAAGGACCAGTTATTTTAATTGTCAAAAGCAGATGACAGTATGAAATAATGAGTAAATACAGGGAGAAAGGTATTTGTGACCAAACAGAAAGAGGAATTGATGGGGGATGAGGTTACAATTATACTAGATGTTTATATTTATTTAAAATATTTCTTTCCTACTTTTCTGCCATAAGGATGCTCTCCATCCCCTGAGGAACCTCATGCTCTGCTTCCTGCCATGCTGGGTCCCACAAGCCTTGGGTTGCTTCCAAGTCCTCTGGGTCCTCCCTCCCTCCTCCTTATCTTGCCATCAATCAATCGACTTAACTCTTTCTAAATCTCCTTTGGGAAGAAGCCACTCTGCTGCATAGCATTCCTACACAGAGGCTGGGTAATGCCATCCCAGAAGCAGACTCTATTTTGGATTTAGCCATAATGAATTATGGAAAATGTCAACATTCCAAATATCATCCAAAATTAAATCAGAGTTCAAGGCAGAGCTTTCCTCAAAGTTCTAATTTATTAAGAGAGACATGTTGGTCCATCTGTGGAAAACCCGAATCTGAAAACTTCCTGGGTTTCACACCCAGTTGAAAGTTCATGATCTTGTCCCCACACCCACAAGTCCGTCACATGGTCCAATCTTCCACTGCCACACTAGCATTTCCACCCATCTAGTTCCGGTCAGGGGCAGAGGTGCAGAGACAAAGAATGACCTTGATTTCTAGAAAGGAATGTTTTATTTTGAAAACAACACATTCTACACCTTACTATTCCCCTTCCCAATTCCCCACTAATTGAAACATCATAGTAAAGAAAGAGAGAGTGTGTGGCAGGCCAAAGATCCTAAAAGGAACCGGATGCAGGCCTGACAGCCAGACTGAAATGGTGTTTACTTCTGGAATGGTTCCATACTCTGTAGAGTATAGGAAAGTTGGGGGTCAGATCAGCCAGTTCTCTTTCCCAAACAAAATATCCAACTTGTAACCATGCAGGATATCTACAGAAAAATTAAGTGACTGATCCATATGGGGAAGGGGAGAAGGATATGGGACCCAGTGGAGTCGGAAGTAGGCCCAAAGCCTGTGGGGACCAAGAAGGTTTGGGTGGGAGGGGGAAAGATAGCGGAGGGCCATTGCAGCATCCCTGTGGTCAATTGTAAGGCCAGGGCAGGATTTTTAAGTTCCTTCATTCAGCTCGGTCAGAATTTTGAATGGTCATTGAACAAACAGCCATAAGCCGAGGACAATCTATACAATTAAACCAGTACAAGATGACAAACCATATGGAATGAAGCAGAAGTCTCACATTTCTTCACTAAAGCCCTGGGGGAGGAATGAAGATTCAGATCTTCATAGCTTTTCTAAACAACAGCAGAGTGGAGGCCATCCAGATCTTGAGGGGGGTCTTCTTTCAAAGGAAATATACTCCTACAGAGAAACCTCACTTCCAGGATCTTGATAGATGACATTGTTTAACCGAAGGAACCTAGAGCACACAAACCCTACAGCATTACTATTAGTAGCAGGCTACACTGTATTAGTCACAATTCATTGCTTACAGTACTATTTCTTGGGGGGGTGGAATAGCACAGCCATCCTACTCTCTTTTCCCTAACTATTGTAATAAAAAAAGTGATCTCTGAGTTCCATTTCTTAATACTACGTTACTGCATGTTGTCTTAAAATGTGTTGTAAAATGAGATTGAGAAACCTGTCATCAACCCTCAGTGTCCTGCTTTCCCCATCTCTTCCCTTTCTTAGTATCTCTTTCTACTTTTCAATTGTAACATTTAGTCAAACCTTTTACCCCCAAAATTGGAAGGAAGGAGATCATCACTAGATCTCACTTTTTCTGGACTACGTCCACCCATTTTGCATTCATTCACGACCTCAGATGGTGAGGAGAATTATCCAGGACTCTTCCTGGAGATTACCAGTACCACCTATCCCTTGGCTTCTCATTTCTGCAAAATACATTTCATTTAGTTCATGTAAAAAGAGGGGTGAGCCAGAGGTGACTTCATCTTCTTTAACTTTGGAGACAAGGAAAAAGAAACTCCTTCAGTTGCTCTTCTCTCTAAACATTTCTAGAGTTTCTCCTTTCTTTTGCATCTTGTCTATTCAGCTACACACTATTCTTTTCGCTCCTGGGCAGCTAAATTCTATGCTTTTGTTCCCAGTATTCATTCAATTTAAAAGAAAAAACAATCAGAAAAAAATTTCAAAGAAATTCTTTTGGATGGCTTAGAATTTTCACAGTTCATTTTGTAATGAGGTAGACAATGTGTTTAAGTGAATGTCTACCTTTTACTGCATAATCATCTCACCATTAATCTGCAGTTTCATTGGTCTTTCACATTTCAATTAAATACAAATGAAAGATTTAATGTTGTCCTGCACTTTTTGAGAGGTTTTCAGTAGCAGTTCTCAACTATAACTCACTAAGAGGGAGTCTAATTAGAACTTTTGTCTTTTTGGAGAAATTTATTTAAGTTATCTGCTGTTATATCGTATTTCAGGGTAGGAGCAAATATTGAAAAGTTATGTCATTGAATACCACTACCCTATATATCTGTCAGGGTTCCAAATAGCATACAAAAGTAAATCAGAGTCCAAGGCAAAGGATTCTTCAAAGTTCCAATTTATTAAGAGAGCCATGTTGGCATATCTGGGAAAACCCGAATCTGAAAGTTCAAGCTCCTGCCTCTCACCCACAAGTCAATCATATGGTCCAATCTTACACTGTCACACTGGCAGCTTCCACCCATCCAGTTTCAGTCAGGTACAGAAACAAAGGATGACTGTAGGGTTATTACAATGCTCATCTGGATGGTTCTTGGAACTGTGGTTACACAAAATTGCAAACTTCAGCAATTCTTTGCTTGCAGTGTTCCCAAGCATGTACAAGGACACAGGATGAAACAATGTATAACCTGTAACATTTGCTGCTTTGAATGTATAACATTTGATTCTTTCATTGTGTGTGAAATGCATATTCTCAAGAACACCAATGATGTAATTACTAACCAATTACTGTACCTTGGAGATTTGTTAACCAATAATGGAATAACACGTAAAGTAGGTGAAAACTGAGAAACTGAAAAACTATATAAATCATGTCTGATGCTCAATAAAGTGCTGTTGATTCTGCTATCCGTGGATTGTTTCCTTTCACTCATCTTCAGCCTTCGGGAACAAATGCTACAGATGACCTTAAGTTTCTAAAAAAATGTTATTATGGCTACATATTACCCAACTCTGTATAATCTCCCCTCCCATTTTCCCACAATAGAAAATGAATAGTAGAAAGTGTGGCAGACCCAAAGTCCAAAAAAAAAAAAAAAAAAAGATGACTTACAGGCCTGACAGTATCTCAATTATTGTCTGTGTGTTTGTATCTCCAAGGAATTTTGACTCCTTATGACTGTTTGGACTATTTCCTGGAGTTTTCTTAGCAAGGTTTCAGAAGTGCCATTTCATCCTTCCTAAGATTAAGAGAGAGTGACAGACACAAATTCATCATATTGGCTCCATACTTAAGGCAAAGCTAGAACTCACAGTCATTTGATGTCTACCTGGGTGCCACTACAGCAAACTGGTTTTACACAGACTCTAGATTGCAGGAATTTAAGGGATTTCTAATTTCTAGTAGAACATCAATTCTTTTGACTATTACATGAGAGACCCAAATAAGTGTACAGGTGACTTAGTAGTAAACATTGACAAAAGGAACTCTGAAGAATAAATCTCATGGGATATAAAAACCTAATCTGCAGTAGCCCTTCTGGATGAACTTTACCCTATAAAGATGTCATTATGCACAGAAAGAGAAATAATACAAGCAAGAATGAACAAGACTGCATTTGCCAAATCCTGTTCGTTTCCCTTCAGGAAGGGTTGGATACATGTGTCTTTGTAAGGAAATAAGCACATCTATGGGAAAATAGACTACGCATAATTTCAAACTTCAAGACCTGCTCAGAAAGCACCAACTAAACTGATTTTAGTCCCAATGCCTTACTTTTGATGCTATTGTTGTCATTGTTTTGCTTTCTACTCAGTGTTGACTCTTGGTGACTCTCTAGGCAGGTCCCTGCAGTTTTCTTGGCAAGATTTCAAATGTGGTTTGCCATTGTGTGCTCCCTAATATGAGAGAGAGAGACAGAGTGACTGCCCCAAGGACACCAAAGTGGTTTTACATCTTTATAGATTATAATCCATTGTCTCCCAGTTTCTAGCCTGATGTCTTAACCACTGCACCAAACTGATTGCATAGTTTGACCCAAAACTGGATAGGGGAGATGCTTCTGTAGGTATCTAGGCATGTGGAACTTTACAGATATTAGTCTGGTGTCTGCAACCTGCAGCTCTCGAGCCATGTGACTCTTTCATCCTCCTGCTGTGGCTCCCTGTTGGCTGAACCCACCACTGGCTGGCCATGCCCCTCACCCTCCCCTCCCTGTCAGATGAAAGAGCTTCATATACCTGGGAACCTGAAATGACTCTTGATTTAAGATATATGGTAAAAAACACCCAAAGAAGAAGAAAGAACAACATCAGCAAACAAACAAACAAACAACCCTTGCCTGTTTTGGGAAATGATTCAAGAAAGAACAGAGAGAGAGGGAGGGAGGGAGGGAGACTGTTTTCCACAGAAACGAAAACACCAGGAGCCACAAAACCTGGGTAGGCGTAGCTGGAAGGTCATGTGACTGGGTAGAAATGAGTGACATCGAATTGGCCACACCCACCCAGGTTTTGTGACTCCCGGTGTTTTCTTTTTAGTGGAAAATGATCCAAATAGCTCTTTTAGTATTGAAGGTTGCAGACCACTGTGTTAGTTGGATTTGAAGGTGAATTGCTAGCCAGCGCAGTAACTGCCACATCCAGATAGCAGACAGACCTCACCTCTTGGATTTTTATGCAATTGTACAAGAATTGTTTGATTTCAAGGTTTTCAAATGACACACACCCTGTCTGTTAATTAGGCTGGAAGAAAGAATCTTCAACTTTAAGCCCCTGTAAGTTTAAGCTTTGACATCTCTGCATTCGCAGCAGGCAAGTCATTTTTGTCCTGACTTTATTCTTATCTGCAATAGAGGATCTAATTGAGTATGAGAGTTTTCAGGCAAGTCAAGTTGAACAGTTGAGCCAAACAATGTACTGCAAGGAAGCCCATTATTTACTGCCAAGCCTAAGTGAGAAAGCCAGGCAGTAAAGCACCTCAAAAGAATTTGCAGAAAGGTATCATATAAATGTAGTAAATAAAAGCAACTCAGTCTTGTGGTTAAACTCTAGTTATTGATTTTTAAAGCAATTCAATGCTTCCCCATAACTCTTGACAATGGTGCATGAAAACACCTCAATGGGTTATTTGTTTGTTTGCTTCTTTCTTTGTTACAAATATTACCCCTTCCCAAATTCTGGTTGGATTAGAGCATTCTGAAATAATTCTAATAAATCCCAAAGGGATAAAAATACAATGTACAATATGGTACATCGCAGCCTATTCGCATAACATAAACAGAAAGGTCCAATCGCTATCCCCAGATCACCATAAAACCAATACAAAGTCAAAACACACCAAATCAATGATCAGAAGCAATTAAAACCATATTTTTATTAACCCTTTGAAATTGTATTGTGGAGGGTACCACATAAACTCCCAGAAAAAAGATATATCACAATTATCATAGAATGATTGTACCTGTCATGAATGAGCCTCCACTGCATAGGATGGATCCCTGGAGGAGATCAACCCAAAGCTTATTGGTGATCTTACTCAATATATGTCTTCTTTAAAAGGAGAGGATCACTATTTCATCAGTAAGAAACCTACAGTAGTCATAACTTAATACCCTCTATCCTTCAAACAAAAATTAATAGGGAACTAGTTATTGCTTTCTGCCCTTCTTCTAAGATATTACTTTTTCAGGATTAGTATATTTCCCCTATAAAACTTTGTAGACTTATTGGTCTTGCCCTAACTTGGTAGAAGTACATATTTGCCTTACATTGCCTTAAGGATATGGTTCACATATCCTTGTTTGACATTACTTGTGAGCAAACCTTTTACTGCTAATTGGTTTCATTTATTTTCAGGCAGATTCTTTTAATAGGGATGATGGATTCCTCCTATTAGGACCATATCATTAAAATACTCTCTAACAACAACAAAAAAGAGCTACATTCAGGCACCGTAAATATAACATCAACAAGATCGTTTTCCATAGAGTTAACTTTCTTTAGTGAGGAAGTGATAAAGTCTGTGAATTATGAAGTAATCAGTTCTTGTGTTCAATCCTAGTGATTATGTTAGAACCACTATTTTTAAGAATATATAGATGATAGATAGGTAGACAGACAGACAGTATCCCAGGACACAAAAAGTTTCCAAACCTTGTGAAGATTGTATGGCTAGGATATTATATGTTGAAACTGTGTATATTATATTTACATTAATCTTTAACAACAAAACTGAAATACCTTTCCTCTTGTATACTTGGATTTAATTTGAATTTAATAAATATGATTTAAAGCCGTATTTGAGAGTATGATTTTCATTAAGAAACTACATATGCATGCAAAGAGCACAAAATTCTGTTTGAACCCTGGTAATTAGAAAGTATTCAGTCATCTTGAAGTGATTAGGAATTACAACAGAATTACATTAATTGATTTATATAGGATGCTTGAATTACAATAATTATTAAGTATTACTCAGATATTTAATCCATAGATTATTTTTAAATTAATTAATTATGTGCTGCCAAGTCACCACGAACGCTTAGGAATACATGGACATATTTCTCTCTGTCCCTAACCTGGTTAATTCCTCCAATAGTTCAACCATGACCACAGTAACTGTCCACCCACTCTGTTGCTAGTCATTCTCTTCCTCCTTTCCTCCATCTTTCCCATCATTAGAGCCTTATCCACAGAGCTCAACCTTCACATATGTTTGAAGTAGGATCATTTGAGCCTGGTCCATTGTGAGCTGAGTCAAAATTTTGGGTTGATTCATTTGACAACCCATTTGTTTCTTTTCCCAGGTAAGATCTCTGTCAGGCATCTTTAAAGAGGAAATCACACACATTTGGTTGAAATCTGAATTAAAAATTGACTCCTCTGAAGGAATATGCTTGCAAGGTTCCAGATGAATAGATTCAGAGCCTTCCTTCCCTCCTTCCCGCCTTCCTTCTTTCCGATTAAAACTTTTTTTTGCTGTTGGTGTTATTTCATGGGGAGGGAGGATTATAAAAACCCACTTAATATAAGAAAGCTAAAAACCACAAACAAACCCCAAGATAACATTTCAAAAGAATAAGGTCGGGCTTTCTTTTTTTAATGAAAGAAGAGTCTTTACATTTGGGGACTGCATTTGCTTCTCCTTCTCCGTATTCTCTTTCTTTTTCTTCTTCAGTGATTTACACAAGTCAAAATCATTTCCTTTGGAAAATATCTGCAATGTATCAGAAGAATATGTATAAATTATAGAGAGTTAAGATGAATGAAATGCATTTAGGGTTTTGTATTGTTTTGTTTGTCTTCTGCTAATTTGGCACAAAATTCATAGATGTTAATTAGGATAGGGGAAGATGATGGATGGAAAACAAACATTGGCAGAGACAGAACTTTCAATGTTTTCAAAGAAAATATATTTTCAAAGACATTCGCTCACTTTTTTTTTAACCTTTCTGGTTCCTGGGAAAGACTAAACACGAATCTCTCTTGCTCATACTGTTTATTAGTTTTTTGTGACTTGTTAGAAATAGAATAAATAAATCCAGACTCATTTGTTAATGTATGATTCAGTATGTGATGTAAAGCTATAAAATGGATAAATTTAGCATACTATCTGAACATAAATAACTTATTTGCCTTGTATGGTTCTGAATGCCAGATTATTAATGGAAGTTCAGATAGAATGAAATTAATTTGACTTTGGAGGAATCTTGTTTTCTTTTGGCTGCCTCCCAGATCTTTGCACATCAGCCTAATTTTGTAACATTAAAACTAAAATGATTTTAAGTCAATCCTTTGATGGGGACTTTCAGAAGTGGCTAAAAATATTGATTCTTTGTGTTCTGTCTCTACTACATGTTAGTCGCTGTGCAGCTGGACATGTAGCTAAATACACCTATTCTTCAATAAAACAGACTGTGTACATAGATCTGAATGCTTTATTGAAAGAACGGGATATGGTGAAACTGCGGAAAATAGGAATACATACAATGAGAACCAAATACAATATCAACAGTATTCAGTTACTGCTGAACATAACAATTAATAAATACAAGCAATTTAAATCTCACCAGAGATGCTCTGGGTGTGGGATGTGAGTTTGTCCATGGATAACCATGTGCCACAGATTAAGATGGATTTTTCTTTGTGCTTCTGCCTTCTCCAAATGCTAAAGGAAATGGAACTGACTTCCTAGCATGCACTTGGTTTGAGAGTGAAGGCTGATGGGTAAATTGGTTTGGGTCAGCTTCAAACAATATACTTGGTATTTATCTCTCTGACCTGTAGATGGGGTTAGAGAGCAACAACAGTATATAAAGATCAGATGTCGGGGCATATTTGTTCCTCCAGCCACTAGGTGGGGTAGAGAGCAACAACAGTATATAAAGTTATATGCTGGGGCATGACTCTGATTCTGAAATCTTTAGCTGAACAATAATAAAAAATTTACCTGGTCAGTTGGCAAGAAGCTGCGAAAAACTAAAAGTCAAAAAAAGTTGCTAAGAGAAAGTAAAATAAAGAGGGGAGGCAGTGGAATCCCATTCACCAATAATGTACAGGTGATTTTTTACTAAGTTGTTCCACATAATGCATATTATGGACTCAGGTTGAATTTAGCTTAATGATGATAATAATGGCCTCAAACAGACAAAGGATTTAAAAAGATAGAAATTAATTCCTTGAAAGAGCTTGGATCAGAGCTGGGACCAACTTAAATAAACTTTTTAAATTATTTCTGACTCAAAATAGATCTAAACAATTGGGGACAGACAATTTCATTAACACAAGAAGACTATTGTGTTAATTTGAGTCAAAATTTCAATCATTCTCAAATTATAAAATTTATATTCCAGGGAGAAAAAAATCCACATATTGAAGATAGAGACAAAAAAGTTAATTCTTTCCTTCATCCTCACCATCCTTTCATTCTACTTGATAAAAGCCCTCCCCGCTTGATTTTTTTCAACAGCTGTCCTGATGTTTCAGGTTGAAGCACTCTACTACAAATTAAGACTAGAGGTGCATTGAGAGCTATAAAAAAAGAACATAAAAAATGTACAATGATCTGCTCTTCTTCAAGAGGTTTACCTAAATTCAGTGCTAAATACTTCCCAAGTCAGCTCATTTCAGAATATTCTGCAGGAATTGATTGATAGGCGATTTGGATAACTCTAGAGTGAGGTTATGTAATAAGGTCATTTCAAAAGAAGGTAAGACTGAATTTCTTGAATCCTTAATAGGATAAAAGGATCCTTAACATATCAACTCATACAAACTTTTGCAATTTCATTGGGTTCTTAGAAACCTTCTCATCCTTTCCTCCTCCTCAGAACTATTGATTTTCTGCTTCAGTAGTTCACAAAGCTGTTCTTCTGTTGCTTTTAATCCTGTTTACATGGTGGGTCTCCTTGCCTCCAAAAATAATCCTGACATTTTTATTGGAAGCAGTACAAAGAAATATTCCTCATTGCATGTCTTATTTCCTCTCATGAAAATGGGTCAGAAGGCCTTCTTCATCTTGTGCTTCTTCAACAATGCTGATTGAGAGAACACACATCATTCACAAAATGCTGCACATGGCAGCATGGAAAAGGCAGTACATTTGGAAAGTAATGTCATTTTGCATTCATATGCTTTAAGATTAACAAGATACGTTCAGCAGAAATAATGATAGCATTTAATGGTATAGTTAGTCACATCAGTATTAATGAGGAATACATTCGTCTATGGAGATTCTCAGTCTTCCAGGTCATGGTTGTCCCAAAGGGGCTTTTTCAAAAAGGCAACTGGAGTTTGTTTTTTCTTGAAGACATTTCACTTCTCATCCAAGGAGCTTCAGATGAGAAGTGAAATGTCTTCAAGAAAAAACAAACTCCAGTTGCCTTTTGAAAAAGCATCTTTGGGAAGAACATGTTCATTCTTTTGAATGGACAAGTGGTAAGAGAAGACAATGGACATTTGTGAATTTGTTTATTGCCCAGGAAGTGCAAAACTGAAGTTTAGTATGATTTGGAAACGGATATGTCTCATTTCCTTATTGCCTGGTACTTCTTCTTGAACTTTTAAAAACAAGAAGGATGATACCACCATGATTTTCATCTCACTTCATCTTTTTCTTCATTTTTGATTAAGGCAGGGTTTACCTACCCTACCTAGCATATGTGGGGCAGGATGCAAAACACCTTTATAAACCTGTTACATCCTTTGTGTAGATTCACACATTTCCCATATTCCATTTGAAATTGCTTGTAGTGGAGGAATGATGTTAGATCAAGCAACAAGTAAATACTGTAGCATAAAGGACACATTGACCAAGTGTGCACTGAATTTGCTTGTACAATGCCCTCTTGTATCCAAGAAACATTCAATATTTATTTCAATATGATTCTAAGCACAGATAAGCAACTGTGCTTTAAAATAACATATCTAATATTTTGAAGCCGGTGAACTCCACAAGAAGCTTGATAGTGATGTGAAAATTCATAAATGATGTTTTTCAAATATAATTATATTTGCAGCAGGCATTAAAATACATTTTAAGCTTCAGATGCTATACCTCCAGCAGCTGTTCAGTCTCCTTGCATGATTTAGTTAATAAGTTTACAATGCCATACAATCAGACTTCAAAGCTATGTATTTATTTNCTTGCACCCTTAACCCTTTAGAAAAAAACCACAGGGTTTTAAAACTTGACAGCTTTAAGACTTGTGGGATTCAACTCCCAGAATTCCTCCTCTCGGTCTTCATCTTGATGATGTGCAGACGGCCGAGGGGAGGCAGCTAGAACCGGTTCTAAACAGCACTGTAGATTTATGGAATTTCTTCTATAGAAGAGGTTAGAACTGGCAGGAACCCACCTCTGGTACAAACACAAACACAAACCATCTATTATCTTCTCTCCCATTTCCAGATCTTAATGCTGTGTGAATAGAATAGAATAGAATAGAATAGTTGTAAGGGACCTTGGAAGTCTTCTAGACCAACCCCCTTCTCAGGCAGAAAACCCTACACGTACACATTTTCTTAAAGACTTCCAGTGTTGGGGCATTCAAAACTTCTGGACGCAAGTTGTTACACTGCTTAATTGTTCTAATGGTCAGGAAATTTATCCTTAGTTCTAAGTTGCGATTGTGAGGCTATGAGACATGTGAGCGAGAGCGGAACAGCCCCTCGTGCAACCCCCCTCTCCAGCCATGCAGAGCGCCATTCACTGGCATTTTGAAGGCACCAAGCCGCGGGAGCTGGGCAGCGGCGAACAGGCACTTACACGTCTTGGCGATACCCATAGGTCAGTGAATGGTGCTGTGCCCAGCTGGAAAGGGGTTTTGCCGGGTGGTTGCTCCTGAACCCAGATCTTTGGGAGCCCGCTCACAAGACAGCAGCTGTCCTGCAACCCCAAAACAATAAACCCTTACTTCATAATAAGGCCCAAGCCATATTTTGTGTGTAAAAAGAAAATAAGACCCTGTCTTATTTTTGGGGAAACACGGTAGAGTCTCAACATCTTTTTTACATCATGGTGATCATAGGTGGCCCTATGTGGTTGTTCCCAAGGTAGCAATAATAGGAGTCATACATGTTGCATTTATAAAACAACGGCCTTTGATTTCACATTGTTGACAAATGAATTTAAATGAAGTGTCTTTCTAATCTTTTTTGTATTGTCCATTAACAGAATGGAGTATTAAATTCAAACTTCACATTCCCATTGTAAGATAGGAACCTGCCACTTAAATGGGATCAGCCCATTAAATTTATCATGTTATTAGTATAATGAAATTTATCTTTCACTACATCTTTATCTCACATTGTTAAGGATATGATCACTTTTATAGTGATATTTATTGATTCATTAAAACATTCCAGTGTCTTAAAATGAACATGAGAACAGGCGGCTTGATCATACTACTCTAGTGTTCTTCTATCCACTCAGAAAATGTGATGAAAACTCCTTAATTTCACAACACCTGGACTGACTTAATTATAATTTTAACTGGGAAACTCTGAGCATCCTAAACCAAGCTAAATCCAAAATTGTTAAGAAATTCTGGGAAGCTTGGTACACAGACAAAGTAGCCACCAACAGGTGCATAGAGACAAATAACATTTGCATACCATTCAAAAAAGACAATAAAAAAGCTAAAAAGAAATAAAAAGATCAGAACACCTCCTANCACAAACCAGCAGTGGTAATTCCAGTGGTAATTGGCACACTGGGTGCTATTCCAAAAGCACTGGAATTACATTTAAAACAATTAAAAATTGACAACATCACCATCAGTCAAATGCAAAAAGCCGCACTGCTTGGATCTGCACGCATATTATGAAAATACGTTACGACGTCCTAGGCCCTTGGGTGGAGCCCGACTAGTAACCAGTGCCAAATCTGGCGAAACAACTGGACACTGTGATACAATTGTATTATAATAATAATAACAACAACAACAACAACAACAACAATAATAATAATAGGAATATAAGAAACTGTCATAATGCTAGATAGTCAGTTTAGCAAAGTAGTGTTAATACTGACTGTAAATAATAAGATTTCAAGGTATTTTTTTTCTATTTCACCTATAGATGCCAAAAACGAAATTTCTGCAATAGTTCAACAATAATAAATGACTCAAAGATTTATAATGCTGCTCATACAATAAAATGCTAGAGTCAGTGGCCATGTTAAATCTTGGTGGGCAGATGGATTTCACAGAGTTTAAATGTATAAAATGCTTCAATTCCCAGCATTCTCCTGACCGTCCTCTTTTCCACAGTGTTACGTCAATATTTCAGTGTTATTTTCTTACATACCTTCACCACATTTCATTATCTTTAACAGAGAGGTCAAACATGAATGCCAGATACAATCCACCAGAAATGTAGGCTTCTCTCCATTTCTAATCAAAGGGTAAAAAAAGACATAACCTATATGACTGACTATTTGTAGCAATGTCACTTGGCCTTTGAGATTGAGTAAATTGGCCATTTAACTTGTCCCAGTTCCCTTCTCAGAGTAATTATCCAGTAAAACTAGTTGCAATAGTACTCCAAAATGGCTAGAAAAGAGAGTTAGAAGAAGGCTATGCAAATAAAGTGTGAAATATAGGTTTGCTGTTTCATATCTGAATGATTTTCAATATATTCTTAGAACAATTTAAATAAAGTATACCTTACATAAATTTGAGGAGTCAGACCAATAGATGTAAATGTAGCCTCGGACATTAAAAACATATTCATTTCTATAGGAAGCAAT